ACAAAAGCTCACCCGTTTTTTGACAGACCCGGACAAAAGCTCACCCGTTTTTTGACAGACCCGGGCAAAAGCTCACCTCGATTTCTTTTTCTTTTTTTCCTACCCGGGCGAAACACGGGCTGAAATAAAGTGCGGACGCAATGGACATTGAACCATTTTTAGGAGAACTTGTACCTCATCCACCATTGAGTTGCGAATCTTTTTTTTTTTTTAAATACTTTGAAAGAACGGGAGTTCGGCCTTTTGGAAAAGTACAAGACAGATGACCAATTTCGAAAATTGTGCGAGATATTAGATAGACTCGGGTTCCTTCCACCACAGCTTGTTCCACAAGAACTAACCACCAGGGAAAAGTCTACCGGTGACATCGGCTACCTGCTGGACTACTTTGATTGCACGTATGTCAACGGCCGCTTCCGTTATGCTTCTGTTCCATCTGCGGCGGCATCCAGAGCGAATTCTTCCCTCCGCCTGACTCTGCGCCGACGGCGACCGGAGTTTCCCCCCGGTACGGCGGAATATGTACGACACCACTCGTCAAGATAAAGACCGGATGAACACCTGCGAAAGGTAGAGTACCGGGTTGTAGAAGCTCGTCGGCCACGCCCATCCAAGCGTCTTGACGCTGATTGAATGCCTACAGCAAAATCAGGCGCTCGTTGCCACGGCATTGACAAAAGCCCGGAGAGGTGAGCCCACTGTAAAGCGGGTGCGAAACATTACTCTGCACTTGCAGAATCGTCTTAGAAATATTTGCGAGGGCTTGCATGTACATCGATATCTACCAAGGCTGCTAGAGCTAGTGGGGCACTGCATTCGCTTCTAACCAATCGATAAATAAACTTGTTTCTATTAAAATCAACAAACCATGCGCGTGTCAGATTTAATTTATCGTTGCCTTTTTGTGTCGCACGCATGCACCCAAGTTGTCCGCACTCGTGTTAAGACAGACATGAAATTTTCTCGTGGTGAGCTTTTGTCTGGGTCTGCGAAAATATAGGTGAGCTTTTGTCCGGGTCTGTGAAAGAATCGGTGAGCTTTTGTCCGGTGAGCTTTTGTCCGGTGAGCTTCTGTCCGGTGAGCTTTTGTCCGGTGAGCTTTTGTCCGGGATTCAAAGCCAATCCGTGGCAGCTATGTTCGAAGCTGCGCATGACCACGTCTGAGCACCCGTTACTCTCCTCATCTGCATCAGAGTTGCTTAGTATGAGGAAGTCGTCAACATACCGAAAGATGGCCTCGATGCGTTGATCCTTTAACTGGTGTTGAATATTCCTCCCGCACGCTGCTAGGAATAAATCGCTCAAGTAGGGGGCCACTCGAGACCCGACGCACACAGCGCTTCTTTGTAAAAATAGCTGATCCTGGTGTGACACCACCGTTGCAGAAAGATATGCCGTCAGGAGCTCCAAGAAGCTGTCAAGGTTCATCCCTGTTGAATTTTGAAACCCTTGAAGATCCTGCTCCTCAATGGTTTCTCGGAGGACCTTGAGGAGAGCCGCATGGGGAATGGAATAGTAGAGCTAGGTCTTGGATGTCCAAGGAAAAACTTGATACAATATCAGAACCCTTCTCCTGAAGAAGGCGAATCACTGCCTCGGAGTTTGGTATCCGGAAAGGATCCTTTACTTCAACTTGTGATAGGTTTTTCGCCAACCAAAGTGAAACTTGCCCTTGCCAGGTGTGTTGCTCTGAGACAATGGCCCGAAAAGGGACCCCTTCTTTATGTGTCTTTGCTGAGAAGAACACACTTAGGTCCCCTCGTTGGGCTCCTCTGATTTTTGTCACTAGCTTACGGCTTTGTTCTTTTTCGAGTATCTTGAGTATGGCTCGTTTTGCTGGTTTGACTTGCACTTGATTCACTTGTTTGAAGTTCTTCGCTAAAGTTTGTGTTGCTCTGTCTCCATACGACCCAGAGTCCAGAACCACAAACCCTCCCTCCTTGTCCGAGAGACACAATCGAAGGTCCTTGCGACGCAATTCCTCCACCTTTGAGGCAAAACTCCTCCGTGGGGGTCCCAAGCTCTTTATGCCTGCCAAGCACTCAAGACCCTCGTTGATGATTTGTGAGGTTGCTTCCTGAGGCGCCTTAGATGCGATTTCTCGTACCATTAGGACCTTATCGATATCACTTAGCCTTGGTGGAAGGGCGAACTTCGGACCCTGCTCAAGCACCCTCCGGGCTGATGCTGAAAGGGACACATCTCCGATGATCTGGAGTGGCGTGCTTTTGGGTTCTGTCCTAACCCTTCGGGCGAGATGGTGTTTCCAAATTGGGAGAAAATAAATCTTCCTCAGGTGCTCTGTGGAGGACCTTGCTACGTTCATGTGGAATGAAAAGGCGTTATAAATGAGACACTTGACCCTCAGAAAATCAGTCATAATTCAAAGTTGCCGCCAGGCCTCGGACTTCATGATCTTCGAGACTCGCTGGGCATGACCTGCTGATGGTGCAATGTAGCCGAAGAAGACCCGTACCTCGTCAAGAAGAATCTTCTTTCTAATGCTGCGGGCGAGCAACCTCGCTCGGCAGATGTTGGTGGCAATGAGCTGACAAAGTTTTCGCGGGGTGAGGAGGTGAAAATAAGGAAAAACTGCGCTCAGAGGACTAGAAAGGTAAGTAGTGATGGCCTGTAGCTGAGCCGGTTGGTTATCCATGCTTACTGATTACCAGCTGAACGTTAGGAAAAGCGACGAAGAGAGAAAGAAACACACTGCTAGACTATCAACCCTTTTTTTATAAACTTCCTTTTCCTCAACCCAATCCTTAAAAGGGTAGCTTCTTCTTCTTCAGTCAAAGCTTAGACTTAAACTTCCTTTTTCTTCTCACGAACCGTGGTGTTCTCCACCTCTTCGACTTTCCCCATCCCAAAAGGGTAGCTTCTACTACTTCAGCCGGACCTTAGACAAAAACTTCCCTTTTTTTTTTCTTTTTTTTTTTTCTTTACGATCCGTGCAGTTTTTGTCTTCTTCGACTTGCGAATCTTGAAAAAAAAATTTTTTTTTTGTCTTTTATACTTCCGGTGGTGTCACCCTCGTTTTACTCGGTCGGATCTTGGAGTCACAGGGTCCCAACTTGGTTCATCCGAGGTGCCGCTCTCTTCAGATACATTTTTTCTTTGGGCAAGAGCACAATGGAGGCAACACTGACGCATTCTCCCTCCCCCTCCTCATGTAGCTGCTTTCGGTGTTGGGTGGCTTTCGGTGTTGGGTTGGGGTTCGGTGCAGCTTGGAAGGGAGCTCCTTGAAGCGTTGGCCATTGAGGAGGGGGAGGGAGAATGCGTCAGTGTTGCCTCCATTGTGCTCTTGCCCAACGAAAAAATGTATCTGAAGAGAGCGGCACCTCGGATGAACCAAGTTGGGACCCTGTGACTCCAAGATCCGACCGAGTAAAACGAGGGTGACACCACCGGAAGTATAAAAGACAAAAAAAAAAAAAATTTTTTTTTTCAAGATTCGAAAGTTGAAGAAGACAAAAACTGCACGGATCGTAAAGAAAAAAGAAAAAAAAGGGAAGTTTTTGTCTAAGGTCCGGCTGAAGTAGTAGAAGCTACCCTTTTGGGATGGGGAAAGTCGAAGAGGTGGAGAACACCACGGTTCGTGAGAAGAAAAAGGAAGTTTAAGTCTAAGCTTTGACTGAAGAAGAAGAAGCTACCCTTTTAAGGATTGGGTTGAGGAAAAGGAAGTTTATAAAAAAAGGGTTGATAGTCCAGCAGTGTGTTTCTTTCTCTCGTCGCTTTTCCTAACGTTCAGCTGGTAATCAGTAAGCCTGGATAACCAACCGGCTCAGCTACAGGCCATCACTATCCTTTCTTTCTTGGCTCGAAAAACTTTTGTCAATGTTATAAACGAGCCTTTCCATGGGTACTATGCACATTTGACCTCGGAAATCCCACAAAACCTTCGCTCTTGTGAAATACAGTTCCAGGGTCACCGCATAGATGGCGCCACAATGCCAGTGTGTTTAAAGCCCCTTGATAAAGGCTTTTTCTACAAGTACCGCCAACCATTGTTGTGGAAACGCGCGAGACACGTGCCGCGAGCGCGTGCTGCGCCGCCATTCGCTTCCAAGGGCCGCTCATTTCAGTGCTGCACCGCCATTTGCTTCCAAGGGCCGCTCGAGACATGGGCCTCGTGCGCTCGCGCATTTGACGGTACTTGCAAGACACGTCAACACATCGAGGGGCTTTAAGTGTGTTCCCTCATTCTAAAAACATTTAAGAAGTTTTAGTTTTAAGAGATCTCGTCTCTCTCAGTCGTACTCGGTCGCAAGAGTGTGAACGGGCCTTAAGTGAGTGAGAAGATGTTTACTAACCCCTCAAATGGAAAAAAAAAAAGAAAAAAAAAAAAACGGAAGTCAATTTGAATAATACACCTGTCAGACGGGAAAGTAAATGCCATTTTGATCGAATGTTATTCACCGCTCGGCGAATCAACTCGTGATCCTGATTCTGCACGTGGCGCGTGCACGCGCAGCGTGGCGTATGAAACACGCGGATTTGCCGAGCTGTAATGTCATTTTGCCTAAATGTCATTTAACGTGCCCGTCTGACAGGGGTATAAAAATACTTCGTCATCGTCCATGGCTTTATCTAATAGAAAAAGACGACGCAGTTTACACTTTTTCACTCCGGCACAGATACAGCATACGGCCAGAGCCATATAGCAGGGTTCGCCGTGACGGCACCACATTATAAATCAATGAGATCAACAAAAACAAAAAGAGATAACTATGAAGATAGCCTGGGTCATAGTCTTAGACAAGGGTATTTCATTTTTGATCCAGGTTTCACGTGACTTGGCTCTCTTTCGCGCGCATTCTGGCAACGTCCAATCATCTGCAACTTCGATGAATTTTCGTTCCAACTGCGATAGTGCTGCCAAGCTGACTACTCTTTCGTTTTGTGACTTCGCAACGCTTCACCGGCTTGACCATCTCACGTGCTTTCGAACACGATCGCTAAAACCCAGCAGGGTCCCAGTGTTCGCCCATTCTCTTTCAGCAGGTCGCCACGTCAGTGGAGCATTCAAAGATGCCACTACAAAAGGTAACTTTTGTTGGTATAAAAACTCGGGGTTCTTTCAACAGCGACCTGCATTTTTGTTTCTCATTTACGGCATTTCTAGGTGACCCAAAGGAAAGGTCGGGCGGTTTTGAACACGAAAAAGGCAGTGTTCAACAAGAGTCACGGCAGTTCTTATCTCTCGCAGTCATTTATTCTGAGTAAGTACGTACCTATTTTGTCGAATTCTTGAAGAATGGCGTGTTAATTAACGTTGCATGGAAAGCGTCTCGCCAAATGCGCGTTTCTTGAGCAGTAACATCAGTTCAGAATGCTTCTTTGCTTAGTATATATAGGACCCCCTTTCCAAATAGAACATGAACACTTTATTTTACATTGTGGGTCGAGACGGTCTGTAGAGGGCATTCACTGTACGCCATATTTGAGGGCGAGGTGTAGACCACATGCTCAGAACGAGGCTGCTAAGACCGGCAGTCTTGATGATGCGGAATGCACGTAGCAAAAGAACTGTGGGAGCCTGCCGTCAGCACGCGCTCAGCAGCCGAGCTCACAGCTATGGTCGCAAGCCAATACTCGCCATGTTCACAGTGCATGCTCAGAACTAGCTCCTATTTATCGTCTTTCAAGATCAACGATCATGATAGTGTGGAATAGACGTTCAACGTGCATCCTGGTGCTTTCCTCGCAGGCAGCGAAGTCAAAGCTGTGGGTATACCCGTGCGCAGGTAGACCTTGAGCACCGATCCACGCTGTGATCGCGCGGTGCTCGCTTTTTTTTGTTATGCCAGAAAAAGTTGTTCTCGAGCATCGTTCTGAGCATGCGCTGCGAACAACGCCCAACAAAATGACGTCGTGCGAATACGTGCGTTCCACCTACCGATTGACAGCAGCGGTTCATCGTTAGGTGTGAGGCAGTGTGCGCGTCGTGACCTTGCGCTTTTTGTATCTGTGCCCTTGTTTGCATGTCTTCTATTTGCGATATTATTTATGGTGAAACAAAGTACTGGAAAGTGCTTTTCGTGCATCGTAAGATTCGTAACTGCAATGTCACTTTTTTTTTCTTTCTCCTGTGCCGACTGGCTTGACAGTGGATGTTTGCAAATTAAAATTTGGCGTAGCAGCAGTATGAACTGGAAAAGAGCGTGCTCTTTACAGAAAATGCGCTCCCCTAGCTTACATGTTGGTCGCTGTTATCTATGAAAAGCGTGGACACACCGTCGAGACTTACGCAAGGCTGCGAACTCATCACTCCATGTGGCAGTTTCTTTACTCAAGCAACTTTTTTTTTTTAGATAACTCGCATTTTGTCGGCTGTACTAAATGCAGGGGCCACCTTCACTTCGTAAAAAGTGTTGAAACTTCCTTAAAGGGGTCATAAAAAAATATCGGGTTGGAATGTTCATGATTTTGCAGAGGCGTACTGGTCCTGGTCTGGCCCGACTATAATCGCACAGACCGCCACTGAATCAGAAGCTTCTTTGTCGCGGTGAAATTGTGATGATGAAAAGGGACCATTTTCCTCAGTAATTGTGAGATCGACACCACCCGCCTGACGACAGTCGAGCGCCAGCTCATAGATTGAACACGAGAACGGCGTGAGCACTCGACTTCGGCTCGTAACAATCAACGCCCCGGCGGGCACTCGGGTAGGGGCTCGTGTTCGACCACTGCGGTGATGGAAATAGCCGAACTCTAATAACAATGCCTGGAGCTCAGCACGCGTTTTCTACTTTGCCAACCCCAGCGCGTGGGCATGATTAACACTGGCGGCGTAAGATAGGCAACAGGCCACGTGGCCGCTTGTTCTGGTTCCGACCTGAGAAGGTGAACGATGCTCATATTTCTCGAAATTTTGTTTTTGGTGACTGCCATTGTTTAGAAGTGAATTTGAGGAAAGTTTATTGCGTTATTGATGTTAGGGAGCGATTCTAAGTAGTATTTTGTGAAAGTTGAAAAATCAAACGAGCCGATAATCTCGTGGTGCAGACGGCACCCCGCGTATCTATCACCCGGCCTAAAAAACACCTCTTCAAATTAAATCACCTTGTATATCAGGTGTAAGGTTGAGACTCGGTACACGATATTCGTCTGTCAACTTCATCTCACGTGTTTAGCAGTGCGCAGAGAGTGAGGGAATTGGTTGACCGGTGGGTACGGTGTGAAAAACTTCAGCTGAAAATCGCTATCTTTTAAATATTTCATACTAAAATACATATATTAATGCAGGGCGGTTTACAGCAGCAACGTGCGATATTAGTAAAAAAAAAATCATGCAAGTAGATTAAGTAGCCCACACCGGGTGTCCCGAAAGATGTTTCTTGCATTTTACTCTAAAGATGAGTCTATAGTCTGTTGCAGGTGAAGGAACCAGAAGCTCCTACTCTAAAACCCCTTTCTTCTTCCACTTAACACAGCGAGCACTGTAAAGGAGGTGAGAAGGGACTCGTGTTCTCTCCGGCATTCGCTCCGCTAAATTGGGACGAGTGATGGGCTTTGCGGTACGAGCTTGTTCTCAAGTCTGCCGGGGCCGCGGGGGCATTGGTGCAGACCGAGGCGAAGTGGGCTGCCGGATCGTTCAAGATGTCAGTCAAGTCTGACAAGCCATCACCTTCAGCCAGGAAGCCCACGAAGGAGACTACACCTGCAAAGAAGCGCCCAGCCGGCAGCTGCCAGCGCGGCCAGGAAGAGAAACCCGCGAGTGCCAAGAAATCGCCCTTTGAAGGGATACAACGAAATTTCGGCGCTTATTTTTTTGTCTATATGTGTTCAAAAGAGCAGTAGCAAGTCGAACACACCAATATCTTGTTAAAAAGGTCACGACAAGAAATTTTACAACGAATTAACCGATTAGCAAAGAACACCTGGTTGATGTCGCTAACGCCTCGTTTGTAATGCCTGTCTGGGAACCTTGAGAGGTAGTGACGGTAACTGTCTCGCCTCCGGCCACCACGAGAGTAGAGGGGAAGGAGGAACTCCCCTCTTCCCGAGAATTCCTTTTGTGTGTCCCAGAAGTCGTTATTGCCGCTCTTCACGATTATAGAAGATTAACCAGTCAGTCAAAATTCGTACAAAAGCAGCCGCTTCGGTGGCTGGGACGACTAGGCCATCCTCTCGACGTCAGCCTCGCCTTAGCTTTGCTTGTCCCGAGACAAACTGCGTCACGATTGCATTGGATGTCAAGTGCTCTCCGCTGGCTGTTTTCCGAGCGCTTGCCATAGTGGGCCGTTTATAACGAAAAATACAACCACCAGGCTTAAAATACGAACGTGCGATTGTCATTTACGAATTTTGTGGATCATATTCAACCTATTTTTGAACACGACGGGTATATTTCAAATTTCGTTGAAGTATCCCCTTAAGAGGGCCAAGTCAGCGAAGCCCAAGTCGTCCAAGCCCAAAAATCCAAAGGCAGAGAAGGCCCCCGCACCCAAGAGCCATTAAAAAGCCCAAGACGGCGAAAAAGGTCTCCGCTAAGAAGACTGCTGCAAATAAGGCTTCTTCCAAGAAGTAGATGTTCTCTCGAATATCCACTACAAAAAACAACAACAAAAAAGTGCTTGTTTGTGTTTTTTGTTTGTTGTGTGTTTGTTCGTTTTTGTTGTTGCTGGCGTTACCAATGCGCTCGTTAAGTATTTATGCTTGTTCTGGTTTTTTTTTTTTTTGGCCTGCAACAGACTATAAAGCCGCCTCGGTGGCTCCGAGACGAGAGCGCCGGCCTACGGATCCCCATGTGGCGGGTTCGAGTCCCGACTGAGGTGCCCGCAATATGACGGAGGCTTATTGCCTAGAAGGCGCCGTGTAACCGAGCTTTCGGTTGCACGTCAAAAGATCCCCAGGTGGTCTAAATTAATCCTCAGTCCTCCGCTGGGGCGTGCCAGATGCCCGTCGTAGATTTGGCACGTAAAACCCCCAAATTTGAGTTTAACAGACTATAAATCCATACATCCTTCTTTTTTTTTTTGTGTGTGTGTGTGTGTGTGTGGTTTTCATGTTTTTTTTTTACGTCTCTTCAGCCAAGCTGAAGAAGCGGTTGCGAACAGTGATCGAGCAGAACAAGGTGCTGGCCTTTGTCCTCGCTGAAGCCAAAAACCAGAATAGCAGGCTCAAGACTGCAGCAGTACGCCAAGGAAAGATCGAGCGTCTCTTACTTCCACAGGTACTCAGTTTATTTTCACACTGTGTTCTTCGAAAACACACCATTTTGATGTCCACAAAGTGTAATGAAACCACGCATATTGTTTTTTTTTTGTTTTTTTTTTCTCGAGTTTCTAGTTGTGTTGTGCATTTCACGGCGTCTGCCAGAAATGAGAGCGAATCTTCGACAAACTTGTTTCATGGCGATGCGGCAAGGTGAGGGATGTTTTAACCAGCGCAGTGTGATCGTTAACATTGAGCTTCAACTTTAACTAAATGCACACCGTTACGATGCCAGTGCATGGCATCCATTGGGATGACGTATAATCGTAGCATTTACGATAGGCACAAGTGTTGGAGTCGGGGACCGAAGATACAAACTTGTGACAATGTATCTGGCATACGCGTTGTTTGCTGAGAAAAATCTTATATCGTGCATACGTTCGGTATTTCACCCGAGAATAATTTGCTGGTAATCTGGCTTAAAAAAAAAAATAAGACTTGTACAAATCTCTGTAATGCGAAATAAGAGCGCAGCTCTAGTGGAGGACGGGGGGGGGGGGGGGGGGGGGGGGGGGGAGAGGTACGGAGAAGAGGGTATGCCGCTCCGTACCCTCCCCTCTTGCTCCTTAATCCGCTAAACTTAGCGGGGAATATTTCTCTGCAAAATATAGCGGAAACATTTTCCCGTTATGTTTAAAGGGAAAATTTCTTCGTTAAATTTAGCGGGAAAATTACTCCGCTAAATTTAGCAAAAATTTCCGGGCTAACTTTAGCGGGTTAACTTTCCCCGCTAACTTTAGCGGGAAAATTGACGTCACGTGACCTCAACAATTCAATTTCCCGCTAAATTTAGCGGGGCGGTTACGCCGACGGCGACGCCGCGAAACGCGGAAACGCGCCTAAGAGCTGGGCTCTAAAAAATGAAAGACGTTTTCAAATCTCCCTAATGCGAAATTAGAGCGCAGCTCTTGAGGAGGAGGGGAGGGTACGGAGGAGAGAGTATGCCCCTCCTACTCCTCCGTACCCTTCTCTCCTTCATTCTCTCCTCTTCCTCCAATTCAGTCTCCCTGCTAAATTTAGTGGGGAAAATGACGTCACATGACTTGGTGACCTATGAACAAAATCAGTTCCTATGCTAGATTTAGCGGGAAAATTGACGTCATGTAACCTCAATACCAGTTCCATTCCCCGCTAACTTTCGCGGGGAATTAAAGTGGCGTTGAGGTCACGTGACGTCAATTTTGCCGCTAAGTTTAGCGCAGTAACGACGACGCCGCGAAACACAGAAACGGGTGCCTAAAAGTGCGCGTGTGCGCGCGCGTGCGCGCGTGCGTGCACATTGCTCCATGTGTTCCCCGCTGTTGCTTATCTTTGCCGTCTTGTTGGGTGAGCGGAGTGTCTGTGGGGCCGTGTGACATCTCTGCTCCTTAGAGAATGGGAAATCGTAAAATCGTAAAAAATTAAATAAATTCGTTTCGAGTTTTTCTATGTTAGATGAACTGGGGCCTTTTATATTTCAATTTACATTAAGTTTGACGACTTATTGACTTCCACTCCCAATAACCACTGGACGATGAGGCGTTTTCTGGTATTAACCGATTCTTTGGTTTATCGATGCTTTAGGGTTGTAACCATCAATCCTGCAGCCGCCAGTTGTCGAACGTCGTTGTGCGTGTGCCTGTTTCAGCTGAAACTATGGATGGAGGACAGCTTGAGTCACATGCAAGAGATCACCCGAGTCCACATGCGAGCGATTCTGTCTATCCATAACATCCTCATGTACGGCCATGACGTCAGCCTGGCCCCTGATTGCGGAGATGTCTTCCAGGAGGCGCCGCCACCGAGGTAAGTTCAGGCTAAGATGCGAAATAAGCGGCCTGAGAAACGGTGCTTGAATCTGTATAGGAAACATATGGCAGAGGGTGCTTTGCCTTCTGCATCATTTCTTTTTAGAAAGTAGAGTTCCGGGCCCCTTTCTGCTGATCTAGTTTTGCGAACGGTAGATACTCTTAGTCGCAAACGAAGAGAATACAAACTGTCAAGTAGATGAATGAATAAATCACCAGTAGTGATCTATCCATTCATTGCACCGCATTGGCTCAATTTTGCCATTGCAGGGCAAGGAAAAGATTCAAGATGATCGTTTGAAAAATGACGAACGATGCCATTTTGTTATCTTCCTTCGCAATAATAAAATGTACACAAAGGTTGTAGCCGCTAGTAGGAAGCAATAAAAAGTTTCCTAAAGGTCGTGGCGGCAACGTTTCGCTAAGAGACTTGCGAAACGTCGGCCGCCACTCTCAGGCCATCAGCAGACTTTCTTACCGGGCGGCATATTGCACAACCTAGTTTGGACCTCTGTCTCGGTTGCACAAGATGCACCCCTGCTGGCTTTTCTCAACAAACTAAACAGTCATTGGCTTCGTGGCTTCTCAAGCCTTTGGCCCCTTTGAAGAACTGCGCAACTCTCGCTGTATAAACGGCCCCTACATATCGGTGCACAACACCGAATCCAAGGTGCTTTATTGTACGCTGTACTGCGATTATTTCGATATTAAGAACATGTTACTCCCAGTACTGATTTAGACACCATGCACTGCATCATAGGGAATGAAATGTTCAACAAACAGAACGTATACCCCCAGGCAAAGAGTTAATACTCCACATCGAATGTGACCTTTTCTTGTTCCAAGGCTTTACCTCAACTCGTGAAAGCTGCAGAGCCTGACCCATTGTTTTCAACGAGAGGCACATGAACGAGTCATTGAATGGACTCAGTGCTTAAAGGTGCCCTCACGAGGTTTTCGAGATCGCCCAAATATTGCGATAGCTCACTCTGCGGGCTCTAAGCTAAGCACCCTAGAAATCCATAAATCGTAACGATGCGTGGCCAATTTCCCTATTAAAAAAAAAAACAATCAAAGATCGAAGTTATCTCCGGCGTTGGGAGGAGCAATGTGCCGGCAGCCAGGACGGCATGTGATGAATAAAAACACGACATTTCGTTGAGATTGCAAACACTGTTATCACAAAACTTGTGTATGCTTTTGTAGATGATAAAAGCAAAGAAAGAGAGGTCGAAAACTGTTAATTTTTTGCGGAGAGGGAACATAATACAGCAATAATAGTCATAAAAACAGCAAACTATGGTCTTTTCTTTTTTTCTTTTTTTTAATCTTTCGCGGGAGTGCCGTCCGGTTGTCAGCGCGCGAGAGCGCGCGCCTGGCAGTTCGACGGCGGAGCCATGGATTCCCGGTCGCAGATTTGGAGCGCGAGAATCTGGTAGCACAGAGCATTTCTCGGGGAACCTGGTCGTCAGCGCACAGCATTTGCAGAGGCGAGAACCCGAAACGTGGTTTTCAAACCCGACGAGAAAAGAAGCGGTAGCGCGAGGAACGCGAGTAGCGCAAGCGGACATTCCATCACTCGGCAGAAGTGTATTTTGGCGTCTCGCCGCAGCGGGGCGCCCGTCACGTGGCTCTCCTCTTATCCGTCGTCTGCTGCTCTACCTTTTCAATTTCGGCGGCCGCTTCTCGTGGCGATAGGCTATGGTTGAGTCGTATAGACATTTTCAACCTCCGCCGCATGGGCGCTGCCATCTTGGAATCACGTGATGCGGCCGCCATTAGGTTGCTTCAACTTGTTGCTCCGCTCTCCCGTCCGCGCCTTGGTGGATGCGTTGAATTCGTGTTTTTCGTCGCGTTTCACCGCGTCTCTTGCCTCACTCCGTAAAGTGTCGTCCGATACTTATACTTACCATGCAGTTGCATTACATCATTATGCGCGCAACTTCTGTAGTTGATTTTGTAACACGTTTTGAATATTTTTTACCGTCGGCGTGCGGGATACGTGTGAAAGGGTTTTATAGGAACAGGAATCAGCGTTAGCACTTGCGCACATTGAATACATACATGACTTGAAGAGATCTTTGAGGGTTCAAATACCAATAACTTATGAGAACTGAGGTTTTGTTACTAATAATGGCGGAACATTTGCAATAGGAAGCCCACTGTTATTATATATATGACTGCGTATTGGTATCAAGGCAGAAAACAAAAATACTCAGCGTAACTAGCCGCGTGTTTTTCCTGAAAACATGGTGTTTTGTAGTTCCAACAGATCGAAAACACTTTCTTTTGCTTACACTAGGGAACTAGTGGACGAGGCGCGGGAACAAACATTTAGTCTGAATTATTTTTTATGCTAAAAATAATGATACCTTAACATTATGCAATTTGTTTGTTCGCAATATCACACCTATATCTGTTTTACGTTCTTAATAACGTGTGTGTTATAAGCATTCGCTTTATCGGTTTATTTATGAATTCCACGGAACTGTATATCGTGCTTGGTCCCATGTCCATAGTCTTTCAGCTGCTTAAGTCATTTTTTTAATATAACCATGTAGTTACAATTAATTTATTGCAACACAAACATTTGAACTCCCCGCGTAAGAAACTGCCACAGACAGCTTGATAGTGCCTATGATTCATAAATTGTGACGCCGAAAAGAATCCTTCTGCATGAAAATCACCCGAGTGCAGCAAGTTGTCTACTTCGAATAGGGAGTTACTTTCAGTAAATGGCGACGTCAAAATGTGCAAAGCGCATCGTTTCAAATCAGTGAACAGGTTTCTACAGAGGTCCATTGGGTGGCGCCTGGCGTTCGACATCAGCCAAACTTATCGGAGATCATTTCTTTTACGCTCTTCAATTTCATTCGGCAAATTTTACTGAAGATGAATATCAGACTTTATTTGAAGTCTGGAATTCACTTATCTTACCATTCTCAGACCTTGAGAACGTCGTAAGCAAATGTCCATATAACAAAAAGTTTATTTGAAATGCTGTAAATGAGTACTTTAGAAATTTTCTAGTCCAGCCTAGACAGGTCTATCAAA